CTCTGCATCCCAGGGTCCTCCCATCCCCATATACTGGAGCATGCTGTCTCCTCATTTCCCCCAACAAGGATCTTTTTAGGCCCTCCTTTTGAGCCCTTTATGCTATTCCTTGCATATGGCTCTTGGAACCATGATTTGTTTTTTTTAATTGGAAAAAAAATTGCAATTGTTCAAAACAATTTATAGATGCCAGAAAACATAGATTGCTAAGCAGAATCAAAATAACAGCTACTGGGTACTTCCCATGTATCAAATACTGCGGGTATATTATTTTGACAGTAACCACTTTATTGAGATATAATTTGCATACAGTGAAAGTCAGGCTTTTAGGGTCAGCAATTCAGTGGATTTTAGTATATTCACAGAATTGTGCAATCATCCCCATATCTAATTTTGGAACATTTAATCTCCTTAAAATCAACCCTGTACCCTTTAGCAGTTACTTCCCATTTTCCCCTCTTCTAAGCTCCTGGCAACCACTAATCTATTTTCTGTCTGTATGGATCTGTCTACTCTGAACATTTTGTATAAATGGAATCATATAATATGTCACCTTTTGTTAATGGCTTTTTTTCATTTAGCATAATGTTCTCCAGAATCAACCACGTTGTAGTAAGAACCAGTACTGCATTTACTCCATCCATTCATTTTGGCTGTAGATTAATACTCTACTGGGTAAGCCACCTTTTGTTTATTCATTCATCACTTAGCTGGTGAGCATTTGGGTTCTTCCATTTTTTTTGAATTTTTAAATGTGTATTGTTGCAATGAACATTTGTGTACATGTTGTGTGTCAGCATGTTTTTATTTCTTTTAGATATATACCTTGGTAGCTCTTTGTATATAACCTTTTGAGGAAATCTCAGGGTGTGCTCTGTGACCTACAGCCCCTGTCTAGATTCTGACAGTGTTTGTAGGCGGTAGTTGTTGACAGTCTCATGTTACACACAAGAAAACTGAGGCAGTGAGTTTAAGTAACTTACCCCATTCACAGAGCAAGTGAGTGAGTGGTGGGGCTAGAGTCCAATTTATAAAACATCACTATATGTCATTTGTATCTCTAGAGAACTGTTTAGGGTTCTGAGACATCTGTTCACTGTATCAGTTCTAAAGAATCTTTGAGGAAAGGGATTTTTATTTATTTATTTATTTTTTTAAATATTTAATTTTATTTTTATATTCCCCCATACAATTGCAAACGCCCCATTCTGACCCCAATCCTTCCCCTCCCGCCCCCCACCCCCCAAAAAGTGTCTCTGGTTCATAGTTTTTTGTTGATTTTGATTTTCACTTTCTTATATTCATTTTCCTGGTCCCTTATTTAAGTTTTCTAGATTCCTGCTATGAGTGAGACCATCCGGTATTTTTCTTTTTCTTTTTGGCTTATTTCGCTGAGCATGATCCCTTCCAGTGCCATCCATGTTGCTGCAAATTGCATGTGTTTATCTTTTTTGAATGCTGAGTAATATTCCATGGTATATATGTACCACATCTTCTTGATCCAGTCATCTATTTTTGGGCATTTGGGTTGTTTCCAAAGCTTAGCTATTGTAAACAGTGCTGCTATAAACATAGGAGTGCAGGTGCTCTTTGGAATTGATGTTTCTGTGTCCTTTGGGTAAATACCTAGGAGTGGAATTGCTGGATCATATGGAAGCTCTATGTTTAGTAGGTCCAGAAATCTCCACACAGCTCTCCATAGTGGTTGGACCAGTTTGCACTCCCACCAACAGTGCACAAGAGTTCCTTTTTCTCCACATCCTCGCCAACATTTGTTGTTGCTAGTTTTTTTAATATGTGCCATTCTCACTGGTGTGAGATGGTATCTCATGGTAGTTTTGATTTGCATTTCCCTGATTACAAGTGATGTTGAACATTTTTTCATATGTCTGTTGGCCATTTGCATTTCCTCTTCAGAGAAGTTTCTTTTTAGCTCTTCTGCCCATTTTTTGACTGGATTATTTTCTTTGTTGTTGCTGAGTCTCATCAGCTCTTTGCAGATTTTTGTGATCAGTCCTTTATCATTAGTGTTGGGTGCAAAATGTTCTCCCAGTTGGTGGGGTTTCTCTTTGTTTTTGTTATTGTCTCTTTTGCTGTGCAGAAGCTCTTTAATTTGATGTAGTCCCAGCTGTTTATCTTTCTCTTCACTATCACTGCTTTGGGTGATGTGTCTGTAAAGATGTCTTTGATGTGCAAATCCCGTAGTGTTTCGCCTATATTTCCTTCTATGTATTTTATGGTTTCAGGTCTTATGTCTAGTTCTTTAATCCATTTTGAGTTGATTTTTGTGTATGGTGTGAGGTAGTGGTCAAGCTTCATTCTTTTGCATGTAGCGACCCAGTTTTCCCAGCACCATTTATTGAACAAACTTTCTTTGCTCCAATGCATAGTCTTCGCTCCTTTGTCAAAGATTAGTTGACCATAAATCTGTGGGTTATTTCTGGATTTTCTATTCGATTCCATTGGTCTGTATGTCTGTTCTTGTTCCAATACCATGCAGTTTTGATGATTATGGCTTTGTAGTATAGTTTGAAGTCTGGGAGTGTGATGCCTCCATTTCCTTCTTTTTTTTTCAGTAGAGCTTTGGCTATTCGGGGTTTTTGGTGATTCCATATGAATTTCATCAATAATTGTTCTATTTCTTTGAAGAATGCCATTGAGATTTTGATTGGAATAGCATTGAATCTGTATATTGCTTTTGGTAGGATGGCCATTTTAATAATGTTTATTCTTCCAATCCATGAGCAGGGGATGTCTTTCCATTTCTTTGTGTCTTCTTCTATTTCTTTTAACAGTGTTTTATAGTTTTCTTTGTATAGGTCCTTTACCTCTTTTGTTAGATTTATTCCCAAATATTTGATTTTTTTTGTTTCGATAATAAAAGGGGTGGTTTTTTTGATTTCTTCTTCTTCAGATTTATTGTTTGTGTATAGGAAGGCTACTGACTTTTGCGTGTTGATTTTGTATCCTGCCACTTTACTGAATTGATTGATGAGTTGAATTAGTTTTTCTGTGGAGATTTTGGGGTTCTCTATGTATATTATCATATCATCTGCAAATAGTGATAGTTTGACTTCTTCTTTTCCTATTTGGATTCCTTGGATGTCTTTCTCTTGTCTTATTGCTCTGGCTAGGACTTCCAGTTTTATATTGAAAAGCAGTGGTGAGAGTGGACATCCTTGTCTTGTTCCAGATCTTAATGGAATTGCTTTCAGCTTTTCACCATTGAGAATGATACTGGCTGTTGGCTTGTCATAGATGGCCTTTATGATGTTGAGGTATGTTCCTTGTATCCCCAGAATTTCAAGGGCTTTTATCATGAATGGGTGTTGCACTTTGTCGAAAGCTTTCTCAGCATCTATTGATATTATCATATGGTTTTTATATTTCTTTTTGTTGATGTGTTGGATAACGTTGATTGATTTTCGGATGTTAAACCATCCTTGTGCCCCTGGAATGAATCCAACTTGGTCGTGGTGAATTATCTTATGGATACATTGTTGGATTCTGATAGCTAAAATTTTATTGAGGATTTTTGCATCAGTGTTCATTAGGGAGATTGGCCTATAGTTTTCCTTTTTTGTGTTGTCCTTATTCGGTTTTGGTATTAGTGTAATATTGGCTTCATAGAACGTGTTTGGTATTGTCCCTTCCTTCTCAATTTTTTGGAAGAGTTTGTGAAGGATAGGCACTAATTCGTCTCTGAATGTTTGGTAGAATTCATTTGTAAATCCATCAGGTCCTGGGCTTTTGTTTTTGGGGAGGTTTTTAATTACCATTTCAATTTCGCTGCTTGTAATTGGTCTGTTTAGGTGTTCTATTTCTTCTTTATCTAGCTTTGGGTGATTGTAGAGTTGTAGGAATTTGTCCATCTCCTCTAGATTGTTGAACTTGTTTCCATATAACTGTTCATAGTAGTTAAAGATTATTCTTTTGATTTCTGCTGTGTCCGTTGTGATTTCTCCTCTTTCATTTATGATTCTGTGTATTTGTGCTTTCTCCCGGAAAGGGATTTTTAAAGACAAAGGGTATTGTCTTTTTTGTTTGTTTTAAATTTATTTATTTATTTATTCAAGTACTGGGTACAGTCAGAAGTGCGGAGGGTGAGAGAATTCACCAGAGTCAGAGCAGGGAGCAGAACAGGCAGATGGACGAAGTACACTGCTGAGGGGAGCAGTGGGTGGCAGGAGAGGTCTGCATGCCCTGTGGGACCCTCGCCCGGCGGCCGGGGATTGAACCTGTGCTGCAGAGGCTGCGGGCAGCTTTGCAACCCAGCACTCAACTGCTGCACCACTGGGGAGGCCCAAGACAAAGGGTATTGTTAATGGTCAGAAGCTATAACCCTATCCTAGTTAAACTGTGTTTCAGAGGGGAATTTACCTTGAATGAGGGTAGTTGTAGAAATTAATTTGGTATTTGGACTGATATTTGGAAACAAGCAGAAAACGTAATGGCTCAGTGCCAGCTGTGGTCTGAGAAGTTTAGTATAGAATCTGGTTATTAATATGTTGATGAATGAATACATTAGAAATATTTTCTCCCGGTTTGTGTTTGTCTTGGTTTTCTTTATGATGTCTGATGAAAATATTTTAGTTTTAAGTAAAAAATTTTTGGACCAGCTTCAGGTTTATAGCAAAATTGAAGGGAAAGTAGGGAACTCATGTATATCTCTGCTCTGCTCCCCCTACCCCCTGTCACTATCTACAACCTGCACCAGAGTGCTAGTACATTGGTTAGAACTGATGAATTTCCACAGACACATCATTATCACCCTAAGTTTATCATTTATATTAGCCTTCACTCTTGGTGGTGTACTTTCTGTGGGTTTGGACAAATTTATAATGACATGTATCTACTATTGTCATATCTTCCAGAATGGTTTTTGTTTGTTTTATTTTAGTGCTCCAGACAACAAAAGGGAAACTTTATTGAGGCCCCAGAACCATGGGGCTTGGGCAGGTGGCCATCCTCCGGGCAGAGAAAGAGCCAGTCATGGAGACTTACTTGACCTTCTTTTTGAGGCACAGTTTGTTGGTAAAGCTGCGCTTCTTGAGGCAGTTGACAGCTTGGGGGTGCAGGCGAGCATAACACTTGTAGCAGATCATCTCGTTGCAGTTGTATTTCTGGGCCAGCTGGCAGAGGGATAGCTTGATGATGCCACCCCTTGGGCATAGCACCAAGTACAGTGCAGACTCTCTCTGAGTATTGTAGTCTGGGAGAGTGCAACCATCCTTCAGCTGTTTGCCAGCAAAAATCTGACACTGCTGGTCAAGTGGAGTGCCATTCTTGTCTTGGATTTTGGCTTTGACATTCTCAATAGTGGACTCCACCTGGAGGGTGATGGTCTTGCCTGTCAGAGTCTTTACAAAGATCTGCATCCCACATCTGCTCAGTCCCTTGGTTGAAGATCAAGAACTCTTCCTGAATATCCTCTGTATTCTGCCTACTAAAGTTTTAACTGTTGATATAATTACAGTTTTACATCTTCACACAAGACTCTTGAGCCAGGTTGCCTGGATTCAAATCCATCTGCCATTTGCTAGCTGTGTAACTTTGGGCAAGTTACTTCCTATATGGTGCTTCAGTTTCCTCATCTGTGAAGTGGGAATAGTAGTGTCTACCTCAATGGGTTATTGCGGGTTTGGGTGAGAAGCTATGTTGTCAATGGTGTCTGGCATATAGGAAGTGCTCTGTGAGGGCAGTTTATTGTTATTACATGTGTTGTAATTTGTACTTTGATTTCTTGTTTAAAAACCCTTCTTTATCCCAAGTCATAAAATTTTTCTTCCTTTGGCAGTTTTTAATCCATTGTTTAATTTTGTCCTTATTTAGTGGATTTTTCAAACCTTATTGGTGGTTTTCCTCCTTATCTTAACTAAGCAAATTACTTAACAAATGTAAGTAATTTATACTCTGTATCTGGATTTAGAAAGATACTGTCTTATTTCTACTGATCATCAGTCAGATGTCTTTTTTATTGTTTTGTCTTTTATTTAAAAAATTCGGGCCTCCCCTGATGGCGCAGAGGTTGAACACTGGGCTGCAAAGCTGCCTGCAGCCTCTGCAGTGCCGGTTCGATCCCTGGCTGCAGGCAAGGGTCCCACATGGTGCGACAGGCTTCTCCTGTCTCGCCCGCTGCTCCCCTCAGCAGTGTATTTCATCAGTCTGCCTGTTCTGTTCCCCGCTTTGGCTCTGGTGAATTCTCTCACCCTCTCATGCTTCTGACTGTACCCAGTGCTTGTACAAACAAACAAACAAACAAACAAACAAATAAATAAATAAATCTTAAAAAAAAATTCTGTGAGCTTTTTGTCTTGAACATTTTCCACAAAGATTCTTTCAGGTTTGGCTGAAATTTCTTTCCCCCACAAAGGATTGTAGTTTACTCATACAAGGTACCTGGGGTGTCTACCATTGTGGGATCACTTGAAATCAGATTTTTAGAATAAGGTTTTTCAAATAACAAGAATATGGACCAAAACCTTTAGGGACTGGCATGTTGCTGGAAATTGTCATGTAATGTTCCTTCATCTCTGCTTGGTGCCAAAACAGAGTGGTGATTGTCCATGCTAGCCCCTTCTCTGCAGCAGGCTTGATTTCTTCTTTTTACAGAAGCTTTAGACTTTTTAGGGTTCAAGGGAAACCTTCAAAAAAAATCTAGCTCTGGTGCTTATTCACATTTCAAGATTCTCTATTTCACTTCAGTTTTGGGGCTCTGTAGATTCTTTCTGTGCCACTTCAGGAAAGTGTTTAAAAATGCATTTCTACATATTTTTTATCCTGTCTTTAGTTGTTTCTATAAAGAGTACTTTTCATTTTTATTTTCTTTGCAATATTTCCAGAAATGGGCATCTTCATCGTTTCGCTTGTCTTTCCTCCCTTCTTGCCTCTGACCCTTCTCCCCCTTCTCTCCTCTTCTCCTTTTCCTCCTCCACCATTTTCCTTCCTTAACTTGCCTGTAGTAGCTCAGCAAAGCCAGCTTTATCGTAGAAAAGGGAAATACAAAAAATAAAGGCCTTTTATGTGGTGATGGGCTCTAATTACCCTAGCACCAATTTTCTTGCAGGTTTTTCATTTATTGAATTATGTGTAAATAATGCTCTAACTCCTTTTAGCAAAGTACAGTGCTTTATTCATTATTATATCTACAGTGAACTGGAGCATTATCATAAGGCACTACACACAAATTTTCCTTCTGGGTGTATATAAAAATAAATCACAGTTGAAAGAATATAAAATGCATACGTTAGCTCTGTCACTATCTTCACGCCTTGGACTGTATGCATTTCTACTCTTGTGGACCAAGCTTTCATCTATCTAATCTTTGGACATTCCAGAGGTACTCAGGCAATTCTGAAGTCTGTTTTCTAGGATTATTATAAATCTGTCATTTAAAAGTCCTAAGCTATTTTATTCTCATATCTCTAAATTGGCTTCTATTTGGGGATCCACTCTTTCCTTCTCTGGGGATCAAGGACAATTACGTTGGCTAGTTTAGCTTGAACTGCAGTTGTTGAAGGACAGTCCTTGTGGCTACCACGTTACAGGTTTTTCTCAGAAAACCATATTGGTAGAGTGCTTTTATCACCCAGAAAGAATGGACTGATCTCATTTTCAGAAACTAATCAGATAAATTTAGCCTAGAGCTAGCACATGAAGTCCATGCGTCATTCATTCGCCAAACATCTATGAAACAACAAATACCAGGCATTGAAAGTATGTATGAAGAATTGGAAATATAGTGACTAGTAAAATAGATTTCTTGTATCAAATCATCATGTGTACACTTTATTTTTTATTTTTATTTTTTGAAAAGATTTATGTATTTATGCATACAAGAGCTGGGGTATAGGCCAGAGATGCAGGGGAGTGAGAGGATTCACCAGAGACAGAGCGGGGAATAGAACACAGGCAGACTGACTGAAATACACTGCTGAGGGGAGCAGCGGGCGCGTCAGGAGAGGTCTGCCACGGCATGTGGGTTGCTCCCTGGCCAGCAGGGGCTCGAACTTTTGCTGCAGAGGCTGCGGATTGCTTCATAGTGCGGTGCTTAACCCCTTGAACCACCAGGGAGGCCCCCATGTGTACATTTTAAACTTACACAATGTTATGTGTCTCAATAAAGGTGGAAAAAATTAATATACATTCCCTGATCTCAGGGAGCTAATGGTTTAATACAAGTGGCATGTGGATCTCCCTAACATTCTGCATTCTAAGAGAAATAAGAGACATACCATTTTACCATCTCTTCTCCAACCCCTTTCCCCAAAACTCTGAAGACCTGGTTGGTTTAATGAGTGTGCAATATTTATAAAGTTGTGGTCTCAGTAGTGTAGCTCTGACCCCAGAGTAGTTTTGCATTTAAAAAATCAAGATCTAAAGTTGCATTTTGATGTTTATTCAATATGTATCTTAAATATATGAAGCATTCTGGGCAATTTCTACTAAAATTTTTTGTTCTATCCTATTTTTGACTCCTCCAAACTTAGTCTCTTGCCTTCTCAATACTCTCAACTCTTCATCTTCCCCACCCTGATTATGCCACCTTGTTTATTCATTCCTTCTCTCCTCCTTTATGTAGACAACTGCTGTGATAATTATAATTATTCTCCTAATTGCTTTTCTTGTGATAAACTTCCTAAGCAGCTTTGATTCTTTTAGAGAGTGGGGCTAGGAGAACAAGCTAAGTAGGTGAGGGGGGAAATTGTGAATGTCAGCATGTTAATTTCTCTATCTTATCACATCTAGTTGTATACAATGAGTTTGAACTGTTCTGTATTTTGAAGTATAGCAGTATATTGTGGTCCATATATGGAAATGTGGATAGTTAAAAATGCCAATTTTCAAGAAGCAAGCAATCAAATTGTCACAACTTGAGACTAGAATCATCATATTTGCCAATAAGCAGTAGGGAAGGAAGTTTGAACTGCACCAGGAAGAAGGGATGGCAGCTTGGAAGGATGCTCTTGGAAAACTTAGGAAGACAAGGACAAAAGGTCATAATTGATAAATATAAAATGGGTATGAAGAAGTCTAGAAGTCTAAGATAAGGATTTGTCTGCCTGTGGAAATCACAAGGTTATGGACTCATGAGTTTTTTTTTATCCCCAGAGCACATTTATTGTTTTCTATAGCATAATGTATTCCATCTGAAATGCATCTTAGCTCTTGACCCTGGTGGTCTAACTTGAGGCAGATAAATTTCACCATTCTGTCTGCATAGTGGATATCTGATGGGACAAGCCTCAGGTAACTTAAATTTTACTATATAAAATTTACTTTATAGTAAATTAATATTAAGTATCTTATGTTTTTGGTTGTGGTGAACTATAAACATAAAGCTTTTCTTTCATGTATTTAATCACAAGATTCATGTTTTAATATTCTCTTCAGTGTAGACCGATATTGGATCCAATCAAATGCATGAAATTTCATTAGAATGTGAGGATTTCTCCTTGGTTAGTTGTAAGGGTTTCATCAGAGCCCTCTAGGAGAACATTCTGCAGGATAGTATTATTGTTATTGATTAAATATTGATTAAACCCTAGAGGATTAATTTTGACCTTGTCACTGCTGATTTTTAGACCCTCAAAATATCAATCCTTCAGAAATTACATTGCCTCCATGTTAAGTGGTTTTTCTTATTCTGTTGAAGTTGCTATAACAAATACCATGGGTGGCTTAAAAACCACAAATACTGACTGGGCCTCCCTGGTGGCACAAGGGGTTAAGCACTGCACTATGAAGCAATCTACAGCCTGTGCAGCATGAGTTCAATCCCCGGCCAGCCAGGGAGTAGCCCATATGGTGCAGCAGACCTCCCCTGACTCACCTGCTGTTCCCCTCAGCAGTGTACTTTGGTCAATCTGCATGTTCTGTTCCCCACTGTCTCTGGTGAATCCTCTCACCCCCCGTATCCCTGGCCTATACCCCAGCTCTTGTATGTATAAATAAATAAATCTTTAAAAAAAAAAAAAACTACCAATACTTATTTCTGTCAGTTTTGGAGACTGGTAAGTCTAAGATCATGACGTCAGCAGTTTTGGTGTCTTCATACTCATTGATGGTTGTCTTCTCACAATCTCATATAACAGAAGAGGACTCTCTGGGGTCTTTTTTATTAGGGTGCTAATCCTAGTCATGAGAGTTCACATAATTACTTACCATGAGGCTCTGACCTAATGATCGTATCCCAAAGGCCCTACTACCTAACACCATCACTTTGAAGAATTTCAACATAAGAGTATTGGGGGGCACATATATCCAGACCATAGCATTGATCATTGATCAAATGAAGACATACAGAAAAGCAAAGGAGCTGTAAAAGAATCCGGTATGGGCCCTCCCCGGTGGCGCAGCGGTTGAGCGCTGGGTTGCG